GTGCGTGGTTGAAACGTGATGCTAAAGATGTCGAGGAATGGCTGGCGGATAACGGCTATTTGAATTGAATTACCACTAGTATAATTAGTTTTTAAGGGAAGTGTCAGATATCACCTGATTTTTTAGAAGTCCAGCCAAATATCAGGTTATATATATTGTACTAGGTAATATTTCATAAGTCCTAAATGAATTTGTAATTTTTTTACGCATTTCAACCTAGTTCTTTGGCTTGCGTTTATGATGCGAGGAATCAGTAGAGGGTATTTAAGTTATATAAAAAATTCATCATGATCAATTTAAAAAAAGAAACTAGTAAAAGTAAATAAAATTCATAAAATACGCTTTACAAATATCGGTTTGTTGGTTTTAAGTTTTATTGTATTTTTACCATGTTACGAGTTCTAATAATGATGGATTAGATTTCAAATAAATTGCCAAAATAAAATAATTTATAATTTGAACGTTCAAATCTAAAATTGCGACTATATTAAACCACTATCCACTAGTGACCTGCATCTGGACGAATAAATGTCACGAAAAAATGCGACAACAATGAAATTACAGAATTTTTATATATTATTGAAAAATTCTCGTCTTGCATCAGTTTCAACTTCCTTTTAATGACATGTCAAAATCATTTTATCTTGGTTCTAATTTTTCTATTTATTATTTGCACACGTCCAAGAAACATTCCTACAGTTGAAACTATATGCAAGATTTTCTTTAAAAAATTTTTATATTAATACCTGTTGAAATACTCCCGTGATCGTAAAGTCTCACGGTTTACTCCCAGAGACGATCCACCGTTCATTGGGTGAGAATCATGCGATTAATGTAAGTGGTGCGTTATTTTTGCGGATCAATACAATCCCTCTAAAAATCACCAAATGGTGTAACAATCGACCACATCAAACTTTACTTAAGCTCCGTTTTGCTTACAGCCAAACGGTATTCTATTCTGAATTGAAAATGAGTGCCAATCCTTTTCAAATATTTGTTAGAGGCATCGAAGGAAGGACGAATACGATTAATGATATCACGCCAGAAACTAAGTAAAGATAATACGTGGAATTAGCTAAATCTGGTACTAACATTTCCTTTGGTGTATCCAGGGTTATAGATATTAAGAAAATGGTGGAAGTTAAGACAGGTGTGCCACCTGAGGAACAGCGTCTCCTTTTTGCCGGGAAACAACTCGAAGATAATTTAACAGCGGATTTCTATAAAATAACGAAAAATTCTACACTTCATTTGGTCCTTAGGTAGGAAGATTGCTTACAGTCAATAGATTTACTACACGATTTTTCTTTTTTGACCATGTTTGTTTTAACTAAGGGAGTCACAAATATTACGTAATATAATTTTTAATAGTGGCAGCACATATCTAATTTTAACCATCCAATAGAAGTGATTATATAACTTCTATTTTTGGAATATTGTGCTACATAAGATATCTGTCATTTGAGTTATTTGCTAAGTAACCATTTGTATTCAGACTCTCGGGTGGCTCAGATGAGAAGCGTCATGATCCCAACGATGGCGTTGAGCTAACCAACGAGCCCGATATGATCACGTAAGTATTTCCAGTTGCTCGATCATTCACTTCAGCCAATCTAAGCGGTCTTTTTATCTATAGTTGGGAGGACGACCCAGACAACTTACGTGCAAAAGTAATAGATATCTTTCAATGACTTGGAAAACAAACATAAATTTCAAATATCTTTAAACGCCTTTTCAGATGCCATGTGGCCACGCTATTGGTCCCGAATCCCTGACTACCTTTTGCAGATCACTTGTTAGCGAAGGCAAATTTCAATTTTTTTGTCCGTATATCAACCGTGAGTACTCACACGTCTGTGCCTAAAATTAAACTGGTAATGTTTTCTTACTATTCGTTATATACATCAAGCGACAAACAATGCTCGTTGTCATGCGGAATGGCAATATATTGACATCCGCAAGATAGGTCTGCTTACTGACGACGAGCGCCAATATTTTGAGTCCAAGATTAGTGAAAATTATGCTTTTCGCGCTCTCGGCGCTCAAGAATGTCCTCAGGTGAGATGAAAATTCACTTTTCGAGTTTTCTGTTTCAGCTCTTGTTGACTCCAAGTGCCATCGGTAGTGCTCCACATTCTGTGAGAGAAAAGATAAGAAACGGACATCGGTAATCTGTTTGATATGCTCAAGGAAGCCGGACGTCAGAGAATACGCATTCTGTTGGTACTGCTTGCACGAAGTTAAGAGTTCAAATGGTTATCGTTGTAATAACAATCTCTGTGGCGGTGTCGATCCACGTCTAGCCATTCTCAAAAATGCGGTCACCAAGGTAAGATATCTTGTCTGATGGCTTTATTTTTCATAAGTGTATAATTTGACGTTAATACTAATTAATATTGTGGTTTCAGAAAGTAGGCAGCGTATCCGGAGTACCATCGTGCCGCGCATGCCCGAAATGTGGTACAATTATCGAACATGACCGCAACTGCAAGCATATGAAATGTCCTTGCGGTCAAGAATTCTGGTATTTATCTTAATGTTGATAATTCAAACAAAAGAAAGTGGGGAGGAGGAAAAAACTCTGAATTGATTCCTGCTATATCGATATACAGTTTCATTTGCCTTAACCTGCGTGCGCAAACCGGCTGGTCATGCGGTTCATTCAACAGTGTATGCAGTATTGCTCCTGTACAGACCATTATCCCCGGCTTATAATATTCTTATTCCATACTGAGGCGGAGGGTTAATATTTTCATTAACTATGATTAAGATTATTGGGTCGGTCACAGAGAATAATATCTCTTGGATTTTTTTGTTAAATTGTTTGCCTGGTTCTTAATTTTTATTTTTTTAACTATTTGGAACCGCCTAAAATTTCTTTAATTCAACTGGCATTAATACTATTCTCGATGGTTTTGGCCTATGTTCAAAAGAAATCCCAAATTATAAAGATGCAGTTTACTGATACTCGATACTAGCATGTACAAGAAAAAACAATAAATAGATCATTATTTTTGTAACTGTATTTTTATTACGGGCATCTACCTGGGCACTTATAATGGATTTATATGACGAAATCATTAAGCTTCGTTTATTTCAATTTACGAAGTTATTTATGTAGCATGTATCTGATTGTTTTTTGTCTATGCTAATATACGAGCTTTTTGAATACTACTTCGCTTTATGAAAAACACCCAATCTAAAAATTGATATGATGGAAGAATTTAATACCAGACTCGTAGGCTGGTTAGAAACGAGATTGAGAAACTAAAACAGGAAATATATGAACTTAAAAAAGAATTAGAATCTCCACCACTCCAAGCATTAGTCACATGAGCTATTAAAATACATTTTTCTTAGGGATTAGAATTTGATGCTTTTTTCCGACATCATCGAATCGCATTATAAGTGCAAGGAGCACAACATCGGCCTCATCATAATACTAGCTGGTATAAAGGTGTCAAAAAATTCGAGGATATTATTGAAGTATGATGAGAATCCAGAAGTTATTATTTCTAAGAAGATATGTATAAGAGAATGTATTAATCGGGAAATTTGTAATCAAATATTTATCGATATCTAATTAGAAATTATCTCAAGTTCACGATCGACATATTAATTCTCAATTGTAAGAGAATTTTTGTCTATCCAAATTTTGTTATAAGCATGAAAACTACATGATAAAATTGGTAAAAGTGTCATAAATACATTATTATCAAATCTAACGTTTCAGAAAACTCTTGTGCGCGACTATATGTAGTTATTCGTTTTTGCTTAGGAGGCATTTTTCATAAGAAAAACGATCGTAATTTTTTCATAAAATGGGATGGGATAATCATTTAACAATCTATAATATATCTCTCGTAAAAATTCCCTTTTATACCGATTTATTCCATTTTCCCTGAAAACACTGAACTATACACCTTAAAAATTATAAAAATCACATGACCCGAGATTTTTTTTCGCCATGGCTAGGGTTCTATTAAAAAATCGAGTAATCGATGCGAAATGACAAAATAATGGAAACGAGCATTTTTTAAAGTTTAATTAAATATTTAATTAATTATCAATTTAATGATATAGTTGTTATAACTATAGCATCTCTTGTTTTTGAAACATTATAATTAAAAAATTTCGTTCAAGTGATTCCATAATTATGGGAACCACTGTATGTGTGGGTGTCGGTATGTAATGTCATCCTAAAGCCAAAATTTTATGGTTGATAGATAAATAAAAGGATAATATCTATAATAATCGCGAGCCAAACTTAAAAAAATGAGTAAGAGTCCAAAAAATTCTACAATTATTTAATAATTAAAAGAGAATAAAATAAATATCAAAAAAAAAGAAATTTTACTCTTTTTTGAGATAATGATAATCTTGACATAAATGTATTGTTTCATTTCTTTACGCCATACATGCTATCGATATCATCTTTAAATTTTGCAACAAGTTCTTTGCGTTTGAGTTTCCGTGCTGCTGTTAATAGCCCCTATTTTAATTGAAATATGTGAATAAAATAATTCATAAAAAAAAAACAACAAAAAAATAATTCCCTTACATTTTCAGCAGTCCACTCTTCATGAGTAAGAGCAACTGCAGAAACCAGCTCAGCAGGTTTAAGTCCCGCTTTTTTAGCTTGCGCAATTAAAGACTGTAATACTGCAGCGACAATATCCTTATGTTTGCACAACTGTTCAAAACCTAGATTACCATCAAGACCTTTCTCTTTTGCAAGTTCCTTGATTTTTGACTCAGCCGGAAACACCAACGCGACAGGTCTATCTTTAAATGAATCGGCATAAATCATAATATTCAAGACGTACAAACAAGTATTGTACACTGATTCCAATTTTTCCAAGGCAATATATTCGCCATGCGCAAGTTTCACGAGATTTTTCTTACGATCGATGATGATTAGAGTTCCATTCGGAAGCCATTCGCCTATATCGCCAGTTTGAAGCCATTTATCATCGGTGAAGGTTTCTTTAGTGACCTGTTCATTCTTGTAGTAACCGGAGGCGACACATGGACCTCGAATCCATATTTCTCCTTGGGGTCGCGCATTTGTCGATAGGTAACCGGCATCTGCTACATCAACTAACTTAACTTCAACACATGGTACCGGACTACCAACTGTTCCGTATGTAAATTGATCGGGGGTAAGAATAGCACACATACTATATTATATATTTGAAATATTTGTAGTTAATTCTATGAAATCGATTATTCAATATTATTACTGTTTTACTTACCCACAAGATTCTGTCATGCCGTAACCTTGCAGAATAGGGCACAAAGCAATCGACAAAAATTCTTGTGTTTCCTTTGAAATAGGCGCACCACCAGACAAAGCGTATCGAAGTCTACCACCAGTTTGCTGTTTAATTTTATTAAATACGGCAATATCGAAAGGTCGAGTTGGCAATCCTTTATTCATACACCAGCCCTTGGCCTTAAAAGCAGCATTGAAAACTTTTTGGACTGTTGGACTACCAGCATGCACTTTTGACAAAACATTTTTTCTAATTGATTCCCACACAGCTGGAACACCTGTCATCAATGACGGTCTCAATTCACGAATATCACCGAGACAATTCCGAACAGATGCGTCGGTCAATGTGCGTACGCCTCCATATCCTAACGTCACGCCCCAAAAGATGCAAGTCTGTTCGACTACGAATTCGAGAACATGAGCAAGTGGAAGATAAGCAAGAAGACTATCGTCTGGTAGAATCAAGTGCTGAAGCAGTTTATTAACTCCGGCAACTAAAATATTGATACTAATTAATTAATTATTTATAAAAATATAACAGAAATAATTATTAAGAGATTTATAAGAAAAAAGTTATATTTACTTGTCGCGATGAGATTAGAATGTGTTAGAATAACACCTTTCGGATTACCCGTACTACCCGAAGTGTACATAATGCAACATAAATCCTGAGCTTGTGGTGGATTTGGCTCAATATAATTATCTTTTCCCAGTTGTTTCAATTCATCAAGTGTATAAATATTGATATTTGGATGGGCAGCTTTGAATTCCTCCAGGATTTTTCCTTTTGCTTCACCATCGTAAATCACAGCTTCAAGAGTTGGGCAATTACCAGCGACATTTTTTACAGGCGTGAGGAGATCAGCATTAGTAAATAATGCTTTGACTTCTGATTCATTCATTGAATGGAGGAGGCCATCTTCACCAAGAGTATCATATGCCGTGACAATAGTCAAGCTTTGTGTAAACGCTCCTACGAGTGTGGAATGATGGATAATTGGCAGTGGTTAAGATTTCTTAGAATTAAAGAATTGAAATTATTTGATATTGAAAATACTTGCCATGAGCTACAAGCATCCAATTTACACTAAATTATTTTTGTGTTATATTAAAGTCATTCTCAAATGAAAAATTCACGTACACGCAATTAAGACAAAAGAATGAATTACCTCGTAGAAGCATACACAGTAAGTTTCGAGTCCTTTTTCAACCCAAGTTTAACAAGCCCTGCCCCAATATTCTTCGCTATCTCACTAACCTCTTCATAGTCATACCAATGATATTCAGACAACTGAAAATATTTCCACTTCTTAATTTCTTTTTTTTCAACACCGTTTACCGTTTTGGTAACTTCTTTTTCCTCCTCAACAATGTTGAGTATACTTCGGTACCCCATTGCCTTCTTTTTTTTCCCAAATGTTTTCGCGCTATATTGAAGCATGTCATAGAGTGTTTTTACTTCGGGCGCGGGAACGCTTATAAGTTCATTCGGACTTAGGATAGAACGGCGAACACGTCCTTCGCCTTTTACTTCGTCGCCAATTTCAATACTGTATATTTTTTGCATGCTTGTGATATTATTTTTATTAATATTATTAAATTAAAAATTAAATTATTAAAATTATAAACGTTTAATGGAAATGTTTGATAATATCTTTCTAACGAGACAATATCAATATCTTTTTATGTATTATTTTTATGTTACACAAACTTGCAAAAAAATTCTTACAAAAACTGTCCAAAGAAAGGAAGAATTCGCAGCAGTGAGAAAATCCATCCGGCTAATCTATCCATAGTTTTATCGTATCAAGTCGAAAGCTAATGGATGGTGAATGAAAGAAAGCGAGAAATTAATAAAATAAATAAGCAAAAGGATTGAAGATATCGATCTTTATCACATGCCAATCTTATGCTGATTATATAATAAAGTCATTTGAATTCTCAAAAAGTATCTTACATGCGCTGAATCATGCACAGAATGAATGAATGATGCTGAGCTGAAGTTAGCGCATCCCATTGGCTGATCAGTTTCTAATCTCTAATCTCATTGGTCGATTTCAAAGTCAGAATT